ATGGGTCGACACTCGAGTACGCGATACGGTCAGGTGATACTGGGGGCCACAGAGCGGAATCGGCACTTTGGGGTTGAAAGAGATCTTTCAGTGTATGTAGAACTTACGTTTAGGTCCCTCCCGAGAAATTGGATTGATTAGTTTCCATAGTATATGGCGACAAGCACAAATATACCGTGACCTTCGATACACACCCTCTTTGTGGACATTTCAAAATCGCATTTTTTGGACACTTTTTGCGTTGATTCCCTCAAATCTACTGTCTACAGGAGCACAAATGGGTACCGTCGCTATTTATTTGGACTTTTTTTTTTTTTTTTTGGCGAAATGATTATGGCTCTTTTGGCGAATTCTGCGTGCACGGTTAACCTTTTGGAGGAGTCTGGTAGTCTGGCTTCCCATCCGGCTTCTCCAACAAGGGTGTCGTTATTGCGCACCTATATTTACAGAATCTACGTCATTTTGTGAGCATAATTGGGGAATTCTGGCTTAATTTCGGCATAATTTGGCAAAATTTCTTAAGTCCCCCAAAATTGCCATGGACACTAAAAAATTAGTAATTTATCCACTTAGCGTGGAATGAGTGAAATAAAAGATCATACTGGCAATGTATGAAGTTGCCTTTTTAATTTACGTAAATTTGACGCGTGTGCGCACGGAAAATTTACACGACAATGAAAATCCACCCTTAAACAGAAAATTCTGGTACATCAAACTTTTTAGGAAATTAAAATGCAATCACCTGACTCAACTAAAACTGTATATTATAATGACCGTTTTATTTTGACAGCTCCATTGATTGAGAAGCACCCAGGTGGATGCCATAGTAACAAATTATTTATTAAATGTCAAAGATATTTTCTTTCCTTTATTCTAGGTGCACTAGTCTAAAGCTCTTTTAAATTTCGGCCAGCACGTGATGACCTCCGTTTTAAAGCCGAGTTACTGATCTAATTTTGTCTATTAAAGACACACAAAACAGCAAAAACTTTTAGTGGTATTAGACTTTTTATTTAACGAAAATGAAAAATTAGCGCAAGGGTTTTGTGAATATTTAAATGTATACAGAACTGTCTTTTTAGAAATGAACTGTTCGCGTTTATAAAGACCGTGGAGTCAATTACAGCAGAAATTTCGCAAACATTTCCTATACTTGACGAACTCGAACTCGAACTTGAATTACCAATGCCGGCGAACAAAATGTTGTAATCGAGATTAATGTGTGGTATGGACCAAATGCAAAAATGGTTGCTGGATTAAAATTCTTTTGTTTAAATTTAAATTAGCCTGACTAGCCTTGTTCTTCAGTACAGATTTCAAAAGAATATGTTATCTTATGCGAGGCTAGTCAGACTACTTTTAATTCAAGCGCGAGATTTATTGTTGTGAAGATTATCTTTTTCTTTAGCGCGCTTATAACTTCCGCAATACACCGAGAGACGTCATTTTTCCGCCAAAAAACCGTTAAAATTGAAAAACATTAATAAATAAACACGAACATGCTAATTAAAAGTGACTACGCAACTCACCCTTTTACCGAAGACGGAAAAAAGTGAGTTGATGAAATAAGTTTTCGACTTAATCTCACGCCTTTTTACCCCTTTTTTAACAAAAAAAATATTAACTATTCACAAGAAGACTTACAAGCAAAAATCGTCCATAGACTTCCACTACGAGACATCTTTTGTACATGTAGTCACAAATATACTTCGCGTAAGAATAAAGAAATTCTAGACATAGACGGTTTGTTTTCTTAGATGGATCGTGCTGCAAAATCAGGGATTGAAAACTGCATTGCCGTCGAGTTAAACTCTGAAGCTTTTCTGTTCTTTCAGTACACGAGATCCGTCAGACAGATCTTGTACTGGCGATAGGAATTGATAATTGCAGGGACATTGCTGTTATAGAAAAGATAGACCAATAGCGGCTTCTTTCTTTAATGACTTAATAGAGGTATCTCGTTCCATTTGCATATTTATATCGATTAGAATCTGATAATCGTTGCCAGGTTAAGAAAGGTGTGAATATAACTATAGGTTCGATCTATTGTTAAAAATAAAGAATAGACAGAAAAGTAAGAACTTTAAATAATTTCTAAAAAACGTATAAAACAACTGAATTATAGGGTAAACTCAACATGAACTTAATATCAACGTCCCTTTTAATACGTAACATTCCACTTCCGCCGAAAGGCTTATCTAAGAGGAAACGTATGTTATCGAAACAGGAATAACTAGAGGAGAGATATTAATTGTTTCCCTTTAGAAGACGGTCTCAAAATGGGTTTGAAGCTTAGTTTGACTGTCGACAGTTATTTTTCCCAATTTTGACGGTTGACGGTTAAATTATAGAGCTTTTGACGGTTGACTGTTATTTATTGGAAACGTAGTCAAGGATTTAAGATCTTTGTGACGTCACAATGACGTATTTTGTGACGAAAAACACGTCATAGCACCACATACACTAAGAAAAAAACTACAATTTTGATTTTATGCAACGTTGTCCTTGCTCCTGTGCCAATACATTCATTGTTCTCGCTTTTAAAATACCCCTAATTTTGACTATATTTGGTTATTTGGTAGTCTGCTACACAGCCGTTTTTAGTGTCGTCACGCAACGCTCCTCCCCACTAACGGCTGCTGAAAACCGAACTACATTCCTTTCCCTTTGTGTTTGTGGTCTAACGAACAAACCAATCATGTACAAGAAATTTGACAATACGCGAGCCGCAGGGCGCTAGGAAGCGAGCACGCTTCTCAGTTTTCGACAAATCAATCAATCGTCGCTGAATTTAGACGGGCTCTGTGTTTTCAAGCAACGAAAAGATTAATTTGTAAAAAAGTTTGTTTTAAGCGGTCAAGAAAGTTCCAAGTGAAAAAAAGGTTTGATAGGCCTAGAAGACTTTTACCAGGATCGGTTGGTTCTTCATTTGATGTGCATATGTGCTGACATGTTATGAAGAAATTCATCTACCGGATGTGCTCATTGTGTTCCTGTGAAGACTAAACTCTCAATGGTACTGATTCAAAAAGCAATCTTATAAATTATCGATGAGCGATTTCCCGAAACTATACCTGGCAACTTTATGAGCACATCTATGTTTTACATCGTAATTTGCTCGACTTGCTTTCTGTTGCTGCTTATCT